AGGCACATGGAGTCTACAGGGCCTTGTGCAGACTCTGAGCTCAGGCAGGATCATCAATCATGGAGCTGCCTGGCCTGGGATGCTCCCTCACTGGGACATGTGACTTGGGCACAGCTGGACCCTTCGAAACTGGCCGGGCACTGCTGGGCCCAAGCCCGGAGATGCCCGCCCACCCACAGGCTCCTGGCCGGCTCTTGCAACTGTTTCATTTACTGCTTGGGACAATTCTCCACAGGGCTCAGGAAAGCGCATGCTGCTGCCACACTCGGCTCCGCTTCCCCTTCCAAGCCCTAATGAGGTGAGATAATGGATGCAGGAAAGCGTGCAAATGCAAATCAATATGGAACATATGCTCCAGGTTCCTCTGTTACCTCAGAGCCAGGCAGAGGGAGAAGAGGAAAGACTTTGAAACTATTTCAAGACCAGGACTTTTTACTGTCCCCTAAAGAATATCAAAAACTGCGAAACTGTAACTTCCTTGCTCTTTTGCAGCCCTGGACCGGGAGACAAATTGTCAATTTTGATCGTGTCTCAGGAATGGCTTTACTGCTCTCCTGTCTTTATACTACAACACAAAATTAAATCATCCAGGAAGAATGAGGAGCAAATATTTGGCACCAATTCTCCTATTTTACTTCTGCAAAAGTCTCAGTATCCCTTTAAACGTGGAGAGGGAGGCCCTGGACTGAAGAGGGGTGCCGGCCATAGGCCTCTGGACCTCCCCAGCCAGGTCTCCTGCCCCCTGCATTTTGGCTCAAGTAGCCCAGGCAAAGGGCCAGGCAGAGCTGGGCCTTCTGCCCGAGCCATTGCGTCAGTGTGCTCAGCAGGCCACACTGCTGGCCAGGGAGGTCTCTGCTTTCCGGAGTCCAGGGGATGCAGAAGCTGGCATGGCCCTCTCCGCACTAGCCAAATATCCTGCAGAGGGAGTTTTTGATGGTACCTTTCAGGGCTTACATTAGATGCTGAACAAGAAAGGGAAAGGAAACTAGCATTTGTCTGGGCTGCCTGCTCTGTGCCCCAACCTCTGCATCCCAGTGTGGTCAGTGTTCTCATCTCTGTTGACAACATGAGGAAACAGCAAGACTCCAGGTATTCAAGTAAACAGTGAAGATGGAAAGAAAACCCAGGTCTGCCAGTCTCCAAACATGTACTTTTTCTGCTTTACAAGAAGGCATTTCCTTTGTTTCCTATAGCCTGGTTATGGTCATGACATACGCCAGCTGAGCACTGAAGAATCAGAAGTCCCCAAGATCATTAGGCAGCAAGGATGAATCAGTTCCCTGCAAAGGCCCATCTTTTCTCCTCACAGATCTCATGTGTTTTGATAATGGATCACAGAGCCTCTCTCATTCCATCTGTAGGCCCTTACCTTACCCCAAATCAATCTTTAGCAAGAACAGAAATGACAAAAATGACAAGACTGACCTCACAAGTGTCAAAGTCTTTCAACATGTAGCAAACTCCTATTTATCCAGAGCTCTCAGAAAATGGGTAGAGGGGGCTCTGCAGACCAGCTGATTTGGTAGACAGGCTTCAAGCCCTAATACCTCTTACTGGTTGTCTGACCTTAACCAAGTTACTTTCCTAGAGGAGCTGGAGAACCTAGAGGACTTGGCTTCACATCCTCCATGAAAATGGGATAATAGTGACTTCCCTAAAGGTTTATCAGGAAGATTAACAAAATATGAGCTGGACCCTGAAGACAGACCATCTCAGTTCCCACCCCTAACCCACTGCCTAGTAGTCGTACAACCTTGGGCACAACACTTAACCACTCCGTGCCTCAGTTTCCTCAGGTATAAGATTGCTTAGAACAGTGCTGGTTCAGGGTAGTGCTGTGTGAATTTAAATTAAAATAAGTAAACAATAGACATGAAGTACTTAGTGGTACATAGGAAGTAATCTGCAATGGCAACCATATTCATGAGTGACTTGCAAAGATTTAGAATATCATATCTTTACCTCTCAACAGTAGCCACTGTTTTGATTTTTAATCAAGCCATCTGCCTTTAGGATAGTGAGTCAACAGGCATTTCTCCAATGCATGCCACGTGCCTAGACAATATGATGATGGAGGAGCTCTGGTTCCCTGTGCTGCTCCTTTGGGTCTGATACTGAATTAGCAGGTCTTGCTTTCCCACAAGCTGCAGATTAAGTCAGGGACCCTGTCCTGGGGCAACCATCTCTCTGGATTGATCTATGGGGAAGATTCCAGCAATAAAAGCAGGCAAGCACTCTAGATACCCGAGAGGATGTCCACTGTGTGCCCACTGGCTCTGAACACAGTCCACTGGCTCTGTTTAAAGCCAAGTTGATGCCCCGTCAGGGAGAAGCTAACGGACCCCCGAACAACTTTAATGACTTATAAAATTCTCTGACATAATGCCTCCACACAAGCATGTTTATTTTGCTAAGAATTCGCAATGCATGAATAGGTCATAATCCTGCAGTTTGAGCTTCTGGATAAGAAATGATTAGGGATAGAGGCCATGGCTCACCCAAAACATTCCAGTGCTAAAGGTCAGCCAGGGTGTCTGCAAACAAGGTTTAGAACAGATTTGCCCCTAACATTTCTGCAACCCCAGACAAGAGTACAGATTCCAGCACAGTGGAGCCCCACTGTGAAATAAAATGTTCTGTCCTCCTACCCTGACAAAATGAGGTCATAAACTAGATAAGGTCAGATTCATATAAAGAATTTGTAGTCACCTCAGAGTTTTATGCAGGCATAAGGTGGCATGAGGAGAGCTACTCTGTGATCTGTGGCTCATCTGTAGCACCAGGGACCTCATGAGTTTGAGCATAGACACCACAGACCATGTGTCCGGCTCCATCCACACTCCCTTCAGATAGTCACCCCTTAGACTTCGAGGCCACACTTCAGTGCCTGGACCATCCTCAGAGGATGGACCCAGCCTTGATAGAGGATGTAGAGAATTCCAGGAACCCTGAACCTAGAGTATGGTCTAGAAGTGGGCAGTGTGAACTGGAGTGAGGGAGAATACTTTCAGCCCTGCAGACTCTGCTGTGACGAGGATACGTGGCTGCCAGAAACTAGATTGAGTGTTTCTCAGGTGCAAGACCCCTTTTGCGCAGGTCTGTGCCTAAGACCTCAATCATTGTCACTTAAAATGTTCAGTGGCTCTGGGTGAAGAGTATACTGCACAATCATACTGTCTACCAGAAACCTACCTCGCTCTCTTCTATACCACTTCCTCAGACCCTGAGCTTTTCTGCCATAACCCCAATACTTCATTACTTGAAATTCAGCATCACAGGTCCTTGACAGATTTTTATTGGCTGAGCCTCCTTCTGTCTCCGACACTGATGTGGCCTGAAGGGAAGACATTTCAATGCATGCTGTGTCCCCCACTGACACATCTCTCCCAGCAGAATATTGTTGCAGAAGGTCTCATCTCTATCCTGTTTCCTGTAGTCACTTGGGCTGAGAACCACGACCCTGGACTTCCATCCCCAGGTTAGAAACTCACCAGCTCTAATTAGCATAAGTTGCCCATTTTTTATGGCTACTGCTCCTTTTTGTTTGTTTGTTTTTTGTATTGTACTTTTCCTAAAAGATAAGTTATTGAAATCCATACCGAAGGTTTTAAAATTTAGAAAAATAAAGTAAATCACTTTTTTTGGTAAGTGACACCATGCAATATATCATTCAAGCTTAGAATCTCCACTGATGGCATCTGAATTTACAGGTCATAAAAACACTCAACAGAGACACTTCTAGTAAGGAGTTGTTATCTGTCTGAAAATGCTTTCTTCTGTGAAAGAAACAATATCACTTCTATTTTGACAACTTATTCCACTGGTGTTTAATACCTCACCTCTTTAGTATGTACTTCCGTTTCCCCATCAGAACAATGAGGTAATGAACCAGAGCAATTGTTCTCAGGGTTTTGTTTTGTTGTTGTGGTTTTTTTTTTGGTTTTTTTTTTTTTTTTTTTTCTTAATCTCAGGACCCCTCTACACTCTTCAGAATCATCGAGGAGACTAAAAAGCTTTTGTTTATGTGGACTGAATCTATCTTAATATGGATACATGTTTTCCAAAATTCTAATTTCTGCTTGAAAGCTCAAATTTTATCATTACCAACAAATACTTTCAGATGTTTTTCAGTTAGCAGGCTTACTTCTTTAATTCTCAAAAAAGTATGCCTGTTTCCCAAGTCTGAATAACTATAGTTTTTCAATTATTCGGTCAAGTAAGAATACTATACTCTGAAAAAAGTAGGTAGTTCAGTTAGCAACTCAAATAACCACAGAAGTGCTTGTCCTAGAGACTACCATCACCTTTCAGTATGCAGCAGATACAGAACAGCAAATGCCATGTACTCAGTGGTCAATATTTAATAAAATTAACAATTTGCACCATTTTATGAAGAATATTCTTAAGTAAACTGGCTTTTTTTCCCCTGTGAATGCGTGGCCGTTAAGAGCATGATCAATGGCTACTGGTACAGTTTAGTGCCACTGCCTTGACACAGGCTCAAGTAGCAGCAGTTTTACCCATCATTGCTTTCCTGCCATTGATGCCAATGTCAACCCAACTAAAATGGTAAATAATACGTTGTATTATTATGAAAACAGTTTTGACCTCAGAGACTCCCTGAAAGAGTCTGAAGGATTCCCAGAGGTCCACAGACAACACTTTGGGAACCACTGGACTAGATCACTATTTGAGTCCCTTTCAATTCTAATGTAAGATTTGGATATTTGTCTACTATTATGTCATTCAGGATTCTAATGATGTTGTGGGTTTTACTTTTCTCCCCTGTACATTCTTTTCCTTCAAGACAAATTTACCAGAAGCTGCCTTGCTTTTCTTCCTTTGAATTTGCTGTTTTTTCATTTCTCCTGAACCTAGTTCTCCTCTCTGGAAAACATGCTCTGCGTCATAGTTTCTATATAATCTCTGCAATGATGAGTTCATTCACTGGTTCATTCACCAGTAGTATGAATTATACACTTGAATTAGTACAAGCTTACCACATGTCTACCCCTGTTGCAGTCAGCGGGTCACAAGGACAGGACGCAGAGCTCTTCTTCTCAGAATGGATCTTTGTCTCCTGGCAGAAACACATATGTAAATAGAGAATAGATAGAGAGTTTGAAGATTGTCTGCCAGTGTGGCCCAGAAAGAAATGAATCCCATTAAAGGTGTTCTGTAATGGCAGCTGGAGGGTGAGAGGCTGTATACTAGATTTTACCACACACCAGAATCTTAACTGATAACTAGCTAGCCTTTTCCTGCCTAGTACCTGTACAGGACAAATGAAACACTCTCTACAGAGGTTTTTCAGCTCAGCACTTTAGGAAAATGAAAAAAGGAGTCCCTAAGAAGAATTGAACTCACGGTTGATTACAGTAATTCTCAACCCTGCCAACATGTTAGAATTACATGTTGTGCTCTATTTAAATACCACCATGTTTAAATGCTCTGAACCCTTCCCAGTGGTTCTGATTTAATTGGTCCAGGGAAAAGCCCAGGCATCAGTCTATTTTAAAACATCTCATGATATTTGTAAGTGTAGCCAGGGTTCAGAGTCAGTGCTCTATAATGAACTTACAGAAAATTGTATTTAAGGAAATGCTAGTGGATGCTACAAATAAACCAAAAATTTCAGTAACAAAGCAGAAGGTGCTCTGGAGCGGCTAGGAGCTGCCTCCTAAGTGCTGATACAGGAATGCAGGATGCTTGCATCTTGTGGCTCCACCATGTTTAATACGTGGTTTCCAAGTTTAACTAGGAAAGAGGAACAATAATGAGAATGTCACATGGGAGGTGTTTATGGGCCAGGCATGAGTGACACCCATCTCTTCCACCCATATTCCATTGGCCAAACCTCAGTCACTTGGCCACACTCAACTAGAAAGAAGGTTGGGAAATTTGGTTTAGTTGTGTGTCTAGGAGGAAAAGGAAATAGGCTTGGTGAATGTCTAGACAGTTTCTGCCACAGGGATGCTTACATCCAGATAACTTAGAGAATATAATTGTCTTCTCCAAGTTCACTGCAAGGAATAAACAAAAAATATATATAGTGTAGGGATCTATAGACTTTAAGACATGTAAACCAATAATAATGGATGCATCTTATTTAGATCCTGGTTTAAATGAAACAAAATTTTAAGAAATATGACATTTATGACACATTTAGAAGACTGAATGCTAACTAGATGTTTCATAGATATGTATTAAAATACTTACAGATAAAACAATATGATACCTGGGATAGGCTTTAGAAATACTGTAGGAACAAAGGAGGATGGATGAAATAAATTGGCCAGAAGGTGACAGCTGTTGAATTGTGGGTATACTATACTAATCTGTTTATTTTTATAGTGGATTGGAATTTTCCTTACTATGTCTTTCTAAAAAAATCAGATAATTTTGAGTTCTAGTTATAGTGTTCAGCCCCCTTTTCCTGTGGAATTGTTGCCAGGCCTACCTTTGACCTAAGGGAATAGTCCCTCTGCCAGTTTGTCTGGATGTTTTCTGTGAAGAAATATAATATCTCTGTCTTGGACTTTACTTGTATTTGCCCAACACACAGTCACTAAGTCACTGATTTCTCTTGCGGTGTTTTTGATCCCACACTGTCTGCAAAATACCAGCTGTGGCCAGGGGTTGCTGCAGCCCTCTGCCTCTCCTGTGAGCCCCCACAGGCAAGCATTCCTCAAGGAAGGACGTTTACCAAAAGCCCCCTTTGGTAAAAAGAATGATTTCCTGCTTGAAAAGAGAAACAGAAAGCTGAAGACACCAGCGTTTTCTTTGTGCTGTGCATAAACACACCTCAAGAAGCAGAGCTTGAAAGAGATTCTGTGCCTTACCTATAGATAATGTTGGAGAGAAGAGTATAAGGCTTTCTGTGTGCCGTGATAAAATCTGAGAACTGGTTTTCCTTATTCATGTTTCTCTTTCCCTTCTTACCAAAAATCACTCAATAGTCAATACGTTCTTCAGCACCAGATTCCCTCAGTTCTCCTGATTCCCAGGATGCCCCTTTAACAACTTTTATAGGGGGCTCTTTCCCAAAAAAGTCTTCCTCTGCCTGGGCATATTCACCTCTACCCATCTCCTACCTCCTCCTCTGTATGTACGGTCAGACTCAAAACTGGAAATAATGCTTAGTTCTTCACATCCATTTATTCTGTGAAACTGGATTCTCATGGAACCCCAGCTTTCTTCTCTATCCCAGCATCTTTCCCTTCTACATGTTCACAGCCACATCTTTCTGATCCCAGCCTTTGCTTGTTTCTATTGCAAGTAGCTCCCACTTAGTCATCTGCCACCTATCACCTATCGTTGCCCTTTCTTTAATTCTCTGAGGTTTATTATTTTAAATAATGAATTTGCTTTATTGCCTTTTAGTTCCCCATATACCCCACACTCTAAACATGATTCCTTCTGGATGCCTTCAACATACGCATGTCTTCTCTACTTTTATCCAAAGGGATAGATATAGTTCAGCATCTCTGTTTCTCTACTTTAGCAATCCCAGGTTCTGGAGCCCCTTGACCCGTGGCAACTGGACAAAAACCAGGGTAGATTGGGTCTGTCGGTTGCAGATAACAAGCCAGTATCATAGCTTAGAAAATACATAACTAAATTATACAGTCTATATAATAGATTTTCCTTGTTATTATTCCGCTAGCTTTGAGTGAAGATTTATGTACAATTTTCACTTACCTCCATTGTACTATGAGGTATTACAATAAAAGTGTGTGTGCTTACTCAAAGCAGTGTTAGAGAGGAAACAGTGCCACCTAGAGATAGTGGCAGAAATAATTAACTTAAGCTCTTTAGGAGGATACAAACCTTAGGAGATAGGGTTTCTATGAGTCCCTGTGCTCATTGCTAAATCTGGAGGATTTCTGATTATTTTTAAATGAATGACTGTCTAAGTCATTACCTCCTTTACAAACTTCTCACACTGAATTATCATGAAGAGAGCACCTTTTCAAGGCAGAGGGAGGTGACAAACAAATTCCAAGAAAGAAAGAAAATTACTGGTGGCCTAGAATGGTGAAATGCAGTTCCAGTGCTACCTCTGTGACTAATGGGTTATGTAGTGTCACCTGACCCTTTGAAATTGTTTCCTCTAAAAATATGGTCTCTGCACTCCTTACACACATATACACACAAAAAAATAGAATACCTTCCTAGTTTTTTTGCCATATTTCTCTGGAGAATATGCATAAGACCATATATTAATATCATAACCCAGAGAAACAGAGATTAACCAATGATTACATCTGAAGAAATTCAGTATAGTGTTATTAAAGCTACTTTTAAGCATTCACATGAAAAGACCATCTTAATTCTATCATATTTTCCTTCATGCTGCTTAACATAACAATTGAAAACACTGATTCTGAAACCAGTCTGCTAGAGTTCAAGCCTCTTAACTTTTCCACTTACTACTGCATGATCTTAGAAGAGTAGTTAGTTTCCTAATATCACAGTTTCCCTATTTGTAAAATAGGAAAAGCAAAAGAACTTATGTGATGTGGTTGCTGCAAAGATTAAATAGGTAATAGGACAGTGATTGGCATATAGTGAGCACTACATGAATGTTAGCTGTAATTCTTATCATGACAATTATTAAGTAGAAAATTCCATGGGGTATAAGACTTTATAATACACCTCTTTCACTTTTTCATGGCTTTCTTTTGTGCCTGAATGGAATCACATATGTTTTAGGAGTTAAAAATCTTTGAGAATCTAACCCACATATTCAACCAGGAGGGCTCTGCAAAAGATAATGCACATTTAAGTAACTGAGTTATTTTCCCCTAATTACTAAGAGAAAACTACAGACAAATTTTTAAATGGTGGTTCCAGAATTTTTTATTTCCCTATATACATAAATACAAACTTTCCCCCTGCCCGGTACACCTCTATTCCTGTTTCCCTGGTTCAATATGTGCTGAAGTTAGAACGCAGAAGCCAGCCTTGATTATTCCCTTTTCCTCATCCTCCCCATCCAGTCATTCAATAACTACAGTCATTTCAACTTCCAGAGTATACTTGGACCCTGTCCTCGTCTCTCCATCTCCACAGCCTGATCTAAGCCACCCCCCATCAATCACTTTCCAGTGATTGATTCACTCTCCAACACCCTCTGCCAGGCCCTCAATTTCTCTTGTTCTTCTACAATTCATTCAACATAGTAGTCATAGACCCTCAAGAAATGCAAATCAGATCATCAGCTGCTTTACATCTGTCATCTTCTATAATTCTCACAATGGTGAAAAGAGTCTGGTATTTGGCCAATATTAATTTTTTGCCCTTCCCTGTTCTGATTCTATTTCTGATGAGGCCTCATTTTCTCCATGTTCAGATGTCGAAGTCACATATCCTTCTCTAACTCCTTTCTTTGCTCCAGAATTTACTGGCTTGTGTGGGCTGGGGGAGTAAGGTGAAGTGAGTGTTGGCCAAAGTTAGTTTGCTAGAAAAAGTTTGCTACACTTTGAAGGACTACTTGACAGGTATCAGAGAATAATTAATATCAGCGGGAGATTCAGGTAGAGGATGGCTGTGTTTCCTTCCCTGAAAAATTCTGAACCAGAGTTCCTTGCAGGGTACCTGGCAATGCACTTTTTTTTTCTTAATAAAAATGAGCTGGATTAATGCATGAACCAATGAATGACTGAACAAATGATTGAACAAACCTACCTGCTGCCTGTCCTACTTAGAGGTAAAGACAAAAAAATAGACTGCTTATCTCTTATGAGTCTATGGATCCTCCTTAGTTTTAGCCACACACACACACACAAATGTGTTAGAGATATTGCATGTCCCCAAGTAGAGACAAAGTCATGTAGCAGGTTTACATCTTCCAGGAGTGTCACCAGTGACAAATGTCTTCCCCAAATTCTGTAGACCCCAGAGAACTGAGATATCACAAAAGTTCACCATAGCTACATGAACTACCCCTGCATGTAAGTCTCAAAATAAGAAGCAGCCTATTTAAAAACTAACAAAACTATAACTCAGTTCTTTGGAGAACTGGATTCATCTGAGAAGAGAATTACAATATAATAATTTATTTCATACAGAGTAAT